ACAGGGTATGGATTGTTTCCAGTGAGGCTCTGTTTACACGCACGTTTGAAGAGCCGGTCGTTGGAAAAGTTCAAGCGAAATTAATGGAACATTATCTCTCTTCGACGATCTCCATGTTTACGCTCAGACAGTGAATTGATATCTTCTAGCAGCACTATCGCTAGTTCATTCCCGGTTCGTCAATGTGGAAGCCGGGTATCGTTCACACGCTTGTATGCGGAGACTTTCGCTATTATTTCGCGAGCAGGAGAACAAACAAATAAACGGAATCGACGCGGGATCCGGTCTGGATGGCGTAAGGGAACTCGTCTGTGCTCGAACTCATCTGAGTTCCGTATTCCTCGTCGGAAACCCTCGGAAGGACTCACGGGACTCTAGTTGTTGAGCTTGAGCGATTTTCGGCGGGATTCGCCACGGGAAAATCGAGTGAACAACTTATCGGACATGGCTTGGTGCATGCCACGGCTCCCACCGAGAGTTTGCCAAGGGCGTGACGCCCTTGTTGGCAGAGTGTTTAGAAATGTTTGTGCTCGGCCAGGTTTTTTATGAGCCGGTCAAAAGACCCTCGTCCGTCTCAATTTTTCTCGTGAAGACTCGACCCCAACCGCTTTACGACGCGCGATGACGAGGGGATCGACAAAAACATTGAGGTTTCTCCGCTGGAGTTCGAACTCGCTCTCAATGTCGCTTCAAGACCGCAATGACTCTCATCCAATCAACCAATGCTCGCGGAAGCCGAGTCCTGGCGTCCGATAGTCTGACCGACGCCGTGATGATTTGAATGTGCACTCGCTAAATCTCTCGCTAACGCGCCGTTTTCCATGTGATCTGTAAACATCACTCCCTCCCTCATCGAGAGGCGCTAATGTTCGTTTTACACTCTATTTAAAACTCCTCCAAGGGAAGCAACGCGTCCACATCTGTTCGCGTCTGAGGCGGAAAGCATTCTCGATGCGTTCACGTGCACATGCTGCATGGAAACCCCTCGGAGCCGACCGAAGGTTCAAACCGCAGGCTCCTGCCAATGTGTAGGCCTCTCTTCGTGGCGGGCGCGTTTGATCCGGTGAACGAGAGTCAGTCAGTCAGTCAGTGTTTGAGTCGATCGGTCAGATGTTCCGAGACGAGTAAAGAAAATTTATCGCAGAGTGTCGCACGCGCCTCGACCCACCCAGACAATCACCGCCGCGGCCGTAGGTCGGCCGACAGGAGGAACAGTGCCTGTCGTAGCTTGGTTCTGAGGAAAAGTTTGTTTCTTAGTCCCAATGGGGAACAAAGCCTACCCGAATCCCTAGATCTCCTGCTTGTGTTTACAGCCGGGCTCGCGTGCTCATAAAGCGTACACGGTAGACATTTCGAAGAAATAAGGGAGACCACCATATTGTCGGGACGCCGCGTGTGGATCTCACATGCTTGTCTGACTGAGTATGGCTCACTGAAGTAAGTCGATGAATCCATATAAGCAAACAGATGACACACCGCATTCGCCAATTCGATGGCAAATATTGTCTCGAACCGAGTAAATGTACTGTTTGCATGCGAGCTAAGGAATCTCACCCTCATCGAGCTGCCGCGGAGACAATCGCAAGACAATGAGGACGACCTGCTCGACGATAATGGAGACTTCGATTCCGTGAACGTTTGTCGCTCATTCATCGGCACATCCATTCCGCATCTGCGACTCGAATCTCGGTCATTTCTGTGAAGGAAATTTCTTCCCCGGCTCGAATCTACGACGTGCTAGCCCAGCTGGTCGCTTGGATTACAGCCCGCGGTGACGTTCCTGTCGACTGACGGTGGTCGATCGTATCTCGTTTGTGAAAAAGACTCACCCCATTCAGTCTATCGAGCGGCGGCGGCAGCCAAGGATGGCCTTTCGCAGAATCGGATTCGAGGGGTGTCGCTGTCAAACAAAGAGCTCGAGCTCTTCTTCCTTGTATTATAATAACCTGAACGCTGCTCGCCGGCTCGGAGACCTGGCGCTCAACAAGCTGACTGTCGCCAGTGTCACGTTTCGGCGCTTCCGGAAAGTGACGGCACACTTGAGAGAAAACCTCTCCGCAGCGAATTCAGTGTGCCTTTCCGGAAAACCCTAAATGTTCAACTGAGTCTTATCCGGATCGAGGGTCGAACCTTATGAGTCTTCCCTGGCAGGGGCGTGAGCAGGGGGGGGG